CTTTATCTTGAAGTTCCATTGTTAGTTCTATTATTACTCTTCCATTTGTGTGTTCTTTCAGCCACCAGTTTGCTACCGGTGTCCTGTTTGTCCCATTATTTTTCCCTTCGGTTCTGTATTTTCTGCTTTCTTTTGCAGTTATGAAATGTTTCTAACTATTTGACTTTAACTTCTCAAATGATTTTTAGCTATACATGTTTTATGATTTTTAGTGGTGCTTTAAGAATTGCCATATTCAACTTTAACTTATCAAACTCTATTTACAACTGCTGTTATAGCATTTCATAAAATAGAAAAGAAGTTGCAACAATATCATTTTATTTAACCCCAGTTCTGGGATACTTTGGGTTATTATTGACGTATATTTAATACATATATGTGTTCTAAATTCCAAAGTGCACTGCTATAATTTTTGCATTTAAAAGTTGGGTGTCTTTTAAAGGAATAAAAATTATATATCTATATATACTTTTCTATATAATGTACATATGATTTTATATATGTTTTGTTTTCTCACATATTAACCATTTTCAGTGCTCTTCAATCATCATAGATCTGGGTTTCCATCTGGTATCACTTTCTGTCAGCCTGAAGAATTTTGTTTAGCATTATTTTTGTCTCAGCTCTGCTGGTGACAAATTCTCTCAGCCTTCGTTTATTTAAAAATGTCATTGCTTTCATTTTTGAAGACTATTTACTGGATATAAAATTCTATGTGCGCTTTTTTTTCCAGCACTTTAAAGACGTCATCCACTGTTTCCTGGCAACAATTGTTTTAATAAGTCAATCATCACTGTAATATTAGCTTCTAGCAATTATAATGTCTCATTTTTCTTGTATACTTTCAAAATTTTCATTTAATCATTAGTTTTCAGATGTGTGACTATAAAGTTTTCATTGTGTTTATTATATGTGGCATCCACTGAGCTTCTTGGATGTATATATAATATTTTTTTTACCAATTTTGGGAAAAATTTTGGCCATTATTACTTTCAATATGTTTCTTCTTTATACATTACTTTATCAGGAGGCATAATATTGTCTCACTGTTTCCAGTAGCTCTTTTAATTTTTTTCAATATTTTCCCACATGATTTTTACATTGGATAATTTTGTTGATTTGTCTTCAAGTTTACTGATCTTTTGCTACTGCTATTCTATCATTGCCAATCTGATTTTAAAGCCCATGCACAAATTTTGCCTTTCAGGCCTTGAAGTTTTCACTTCTGGAATTTTTTGTTTTGCTTTCTTAAAAATAGCTTTCACTTCTCTGCGGAGATTCCCTACTGTACACTTATTGACAATATAAACATCATGACCATTTTTTCTTTGTCCTTGAATTGTTTAAAATAATTAATTGAATGTCTTTATTTGCTAATTGCATTTCAGGTTTTATTGGTTTATATTGACTGCTATTTTTTATGTGTCTTATATGCTCCACTTTGTATATCTCATGATTTTTTTTTACCATGTATCATATATTTTATATATTGTCAACATCCTGATTTTCAATACTCCTCTGAATGTTGATTTTTGTTCTAAAAGAAGTTAAATTATTGATAAATCACATTAATCTTGTGCAGGATTCATTTTCGACTGCTTTCAGGTTAGTTTCTGTCTTGCCCTTAGGCTGACAGCAAATGCTTAGCTCTAAAACCCAGAAGGGTTATATGGTCCTCCTAGGGTTTTAAAGGAAAGTCTGAAGTGCTTACTTATTAAGACTAACTTGATGGGATTCATTTTTCAAATTCAGTATCTCCTTCAGTGAGTGGCAGCTGAAACACTGTTTCAGCTTTTTCAAGGTTTCAGTTTTTGCTTTCTTCCAAGGCTTCTTGGTGCCTTTTTCTCTCTTTCTCCTCAAAAACAAACATCTGAGGGAAATTCGCATGTGAATGTGATGACTTACCTCTTTTCTGTTGCTTTGTTTCTAGGATTTCACCCTCAACTTCAGCTGCTCTGGCAGCGCCATGCTCCCTTCTGCTATTCTAGCCATCCTGCATTTATGGGATTGAGGCTTTTCCTGGGATGTGGGAGTTTTCATGCTAAAACCAGGTAAGTTCCAGGCAAACAGGGAAACTGTTGGTCATCCCTTAAGTGTCCTCAGGGGAAAAGCCACAAAACTTTAGATCTCACTCAACTCAGGTTTCTCTTCCTATGATCAAATCTGTACCACTTCGTGCATGCTTTGGGTAACTTTGCAGTACTTCACATAGTTATTTAATATTCTGTCCATCAGTTATAATTGTTATCTGCAGAATGGTTGGCTTACTTTATAACTGCCAAACCAGGACCTAAGTAATATATTTTAATTTCCCAAATAATAAGAGATCTGGTATCAACAACCAAGCTAGTAAAAGTTTTGACCTCATGATTCACTTCTGGGTATTGTAACAACAACAATATTATTAATAGTAACACAGTGTCAAATTAAAAACAAAACTTTTTTTTTTTTCTGAGAAAAGTAACCTGCTAAACAGTTCTCCAATATATCGACAATGGCTTGTTTGGATGAAAGAATGTTAAGTGGTAGGGTTTTTTTTCTTTCAACTTTTTCATATTTTAGAAAAGTTAATATAAATATATATTATTCACAATGAAAATGCAAGCATCTTTATCAAATACTGCTTATTGAAATGTGTTGTGAACGTATCTTTTTAAAAATGGGTAAGAACAGATAAAAGATGATTATATAAGAAATTACTAGATGAGGTGTCTTACAAATAACCATGATATAATCTGTGTTGCTATATCTTAGAAAACATATTAAAATACTTTTTTCAAAGAACAGCCACCAGATACGAAAGGTCCACAAGGGGCAAACCGAAGCTGACCAGCCCGGAGGAGCGCTGTTGCAATTGTACTCAGATACTATAAATAGTAAAATTTCCTTTATGGATTCTCTTAATATGTTGGGAGGTATTCCATTATTGAAATAAATTATAACCTATAGGGATCATTATGGTACTGATAAGGGATCAGTATATGAATGATTACTTTGTGAATGTGATAGCATCTATTCCCACAGTTTCAATGTGTTTGTCACTAAACTCCAGGAAAAAAAAGGCTTACTTTGGAAAACTGTAAATGTTCTAGATGGTAGAAGATAGGTTTTTATACATAGACTTTTTTACATGGTATGAACCAATTTTTTTACATGGTATGAACCAATATATGCAACCTAACAGCCTGCATATCTGTTTGTTTTGGCCTCCTTTGTGTTTTAAAAATTAGGACATTCCTCATAATTTTGTTTTCCATTTCCTCTGGAAACTCTGATTAAAACAGAACAGGGGCAACCCCATTCAAATAGGGTACAGATGATCAGTCCAGTGTGCATGGTTTCCACAACTTTACTGAATGACAACCAGCCCGTTTCTTTCATTTATTTCACTTGCTTGGTTTTTGTAGGCGTCAGGGCGTGTAAACTTTAGCCTACAAAAGTATGACCCAATATCTTCACTAAAAACAATTACACAACTATAACCAACTTAGATTTTTTTTGGTTTTTTGTTTTTTGTTTTGTAAAAAAAATTCTCAATATAAGGGGACCAAAGTTCCTCACAGTGCAGCAAGGAACAAGAGAATTACAGAAAAGGGGGCTTACTTTTGGTCTGCCTCTAATTCAGTCACAACAGAGAGAAGTCAGTTGGCTGCAGCAGTAAATGTTGTTTTAAGTGGATTTTTTCCTCAGGCCATAAAATAACAAAGGCAGAGTTCTAAAAGTGTGCAAGTTTCCAGGTATGTCAGGCCCATTTTCGTCCCAGTCAGAATGTGTCTCCTCAGCCTATGTCATGACCAGAAGCCACACATAACTCTCTCTGCTTTCCTTGGGTATATTTTAGGGTTGGAGTTGAGTGTGGAGCCCACCCATCTCATGTTGTACTCCTATGTCTCCTTATTCATGTTTCCTACCTGGAAGACTCAGCTCTTATAGAAAAGGCACTGGTTTTGATATGACTTATCGCTATGTGCCAGAAGGGGTCCAGCTGGTGCTCTTCACCTGTACCTCTCTCTGCCTGAATATCTTTGCTGTAGTCTCAACTAGACCTTGAAACGTTCCTCCATGTTCTTCTCCCTGATCAGTGAATGGGGTTATCTTGTGGTGGATGAACAAGATTGGCATAGAGGAATATGTCCCATGTATCAATATCCATGGTAACAGTCTAGGCAAGAAGGAAGCATGCTAACACCACTCATTCACTCCAGAAATTTTCAGGATTGTCATGAAGCAGAACAACAACAAAAAAATGTTAATCTCACACAGCAAATAGATATCCCTTTATATTGTTAAATGTCCCCTTGAGCCTCTCCTTTTGTCCAACTTTCCTTCAAAAAGCACCCTTCTATTTTGTAGGTCTCTATTCTACACTCATGCAGCTATCCCCACGCAATTGTGTTCAGCCTTCAAGTAGTTTGTGTCTACATCTTCACTGGGATGGAGAGCAGAAAAAGGAGGGGTGGATTCTGGGGAGCACAGAATTTCTCCATGTAATTTAATTCTATCATTTTTCTTTTCCCTTCATTCAAATTGTAAATACATCAAATCTGCTTTCAAACAGGATGGTTTACAGAGAAACACCCATGCCTCCCACTCTCTCTGCTTCCCCTCCCCCACAATGTAATCATGATTTCCCAGACTACACAGTTTTAAATAAGGATTCTTTGCGGATCTGAGGAGACATACCTTCTGTCATTCGTAATATAGTTTATGGGCTTGCTAAAGCATCCCTTGTCCCCACGAAAGGCAGTCCTTGCACACTTGTGTGTGCAGTGAAGGGTTAAAGAGCGCTGGAAAGACACCACGCATGTGTTAATTCATGCTGCAGCAGCGTGCAGCATTTCCACTTTGACCTCATAGTTAATCTGCGTGATAGTTGATCACGCAGAGATTCTCGTGATTTTTCTCTTTCTTTTAAACACACACACACACACACACACACACATACACGCACACGCGCGCACACACAGACACACACACACGTACACACACACATTGCCCCCTCTAAAAGAAAAATCAAAACAAACAATCCCACAACGATGGGCCTGGGAGAGCGTGTGTGAGTGTGAGGGGCATGGGTATGTGTACGAGTGCGCGCGCCTTTCTCTCTCCCCCATGTGCCTCCGTGTGTCTCTCCCTGTACCCTGCCCCTCCCTCAGTTATATTATTCCCCCAGACTTGGAAGCCGCTCCTTGAGCTGGCGCTTTGATGGTATCTGCAAGCATTGGTGCTGATCTTATTTCTGCCCCCTGAATATTAATTCCCCAAGCTGGCAGCAATACATCTCCCCAGTGAGGGGACCTACTAGAGGCAGGTGGGGGGAGCCACCATCAGATCATAAGCATAATAATAATACAAAGGGGAGGGATTCTTCTGCAACCGAGAGGCGAGAGGAGGAAAAAAAAAAAAAAGCGATGAGTTCGCCAAATATATGGAGCACAGGAAGCTCAGTCTACTCGACTCCTGTGTTTTCACAGAAAATGACGGTGTGGATCCTGCTCTTGCTATCGCTCTACCCAGGGTAAGATGTGCTGTTTTCGGCTTCGTTTTGTTCCGGAGAGGTGGGGGAAGGGGTGGAGATGTGGCACTACGGAGACCACCCAGATTTAAAACGCTCTTCTCGGATTTGGGGCTGTATAATTTAGGGGGATGTGAATTCGTGGGGAGCGTAAAGAAGGGAGGAAAGAGGAAGGTCACTTTCGTTTAGTTATTAATTTATTGGATTTATTTGTTTTGTTTTAAAGTGAAAAAGCTAACGCCATGAAGACTTTGTTTCTGGGGAGTAGCATTTTGCAAAATGATGTCTAGGTGGGCTGTGCTGATACATGCCGGCGTTTGAGGCCATGTTGGAGGCGTTTTGGGTGGGGGTCTAGAGGAGAAAACTGCAAATGAGGTACTGGCACAAACCCGGGAGATGTGTGTGTGTTTCTTTGGGGGGGGGGGAGGGGTTCTGTTTCTGAACAGCAAAGTATTGCTAGCTCCTGCTCTTAGGCATTCTTAACATCAGTCCGCCAGGTTTTCCATCCAGCCCCATTGACCTAGCAGCAGGCTCTCTGATGGGCAAACATAGTTCAGCACCAGGGACAGCAATCCTGCTTCGGGCCAAATGGAAACAGGCTTGTCTAACCAGAGGACACCTCTAAATTTACACAGGACATCCATATAGTTCAGACAAAAGGCCGATGGAGCCAAGGAGCGCTAACGACATCAGGGGACCCTGTTCTGATTGTCCCTACCCCTTTCTGGAGACTGGAGAGGGAATTGGGGGCATGGGCTAGAGAAGCTAGTTTATAAATGCATGGAGGAATATATGTCTGGAATAGAGCTGGCCTTGCTGCAGTGTTGAAAAATATGCTGAACCAAGGGAATATGATGCCAAAATTGTGAATTATGCATTGATGCCACAGAGCCTTGCTGCACTGAATAGAAAAGATGGGAAGGGGTGAGGAATGGGGTCCCCCACACCCTGAGCAGGTGTGTACTCTGAAGTGCTTTGCACCTACGTTTTCTTGAACTTTCTTGCACCAAAAGTATCAAGGGAATATCAACGGAATGACACACAGTTCACCATCTATCTACCCACCTAAGTAGCCCCCCCACTCCACCCCCACACACCTCAGGATTTCCAGCAAGGACCAAGGCAGGTTAGAGGTCCACGATTTACATTGCTTGCAGTCTTCTATACTGTCATTTTGAAATAAGGCCCTACATTTAAGGTAATTCTAAATTCCTTTTTCCTCCCCCCAAAAAGGAAAGAAAAATTAGCTGTAGAATATATTAAGCCACAGCTCTAAGGTTTATGTGGAATTGACACTCTTAGGTAGTAGTTGTAACAAAGGGAGATAAAAGTGATGGGGGATAAACTATTACTGTATTGTATTAAAAATATCTATTGAACTTCTCTAATCCTTCATTCTCTGGGGGAGTTATGGGGGGTGCAGATCTCTGATAAAGAGACCAAGGCAAAATAAGGAGTGGAAGCTTCTCTTTGGACTTTTTAAGCAGAGAGAGGGTCTGCTTAATTCCCCCAGCATTTTTCATACTTGCCTCCTTTACTATAAAAATAGAGTACGTTTTCACTACGAGTATAAGATTAAGTGGTTTTCTCAGAAGAGGAGAGGGCCTTTTACTAGAGATGGTTTATGTGCAAATACATTTTAGTGGAATCCTGGAAATACAATTTTCTATTCAAAGTTCACACACATATTTTTTTTGCCTAATGTGTGCAGCTCTTAATTTGTTTCAGAAATTAGAGTTGATAGTTGCTCATGGACAGAGACTATTACGCTCATATTCCTACAATTTATGAAACCTGATTAAAATCTAGACAAGACATATGGAAATATGTTTTTCTTTCTTACTCACATCCATCTTAATAAACAATTTTATAACTAAATAGACGAGGATATTCTTATGTATTTTATCTATAATAGTCTTTTTTAACCAAAAATGTCAAATTTTATTATTATTCATAATAGTATCATATTTAAGATGTCTTATTTTCGGCAAAAAAAACCACCTTTTCTTTTCCAATATCATACAAAAATGAAAACTAGAGGTACATATTAATTTTCAATTCTTAGCATAGTAGCCTAGATGAGCATTTTAAATATAGCTCTAAGTAAGGGGAGTGATGTTTCATGTAAACTCTCCAATAAGAGGGTTTTTCACATTTTCTCAGTAATGACTGTGAATTGAGTCATTGCAGTTTGGTGCAGAGAATGTGATCAGAGTTTCAGCTTGCTGTAATCCCGTAAAAAAGCCATCTCAATGGCTGAAGAAGGCTGGATGAGGCTTTGATGTGAAGCTGATCCTAAACTAAAGAAGGACCACAAGTGACTAGAAAAATGTAGGATGCTAGGGAACAATTTGAAAGAGGCTTCTTGGGTAAAGAGTGTCAGTAGACCCACCTAGAAAGCTGAGGGAAAATTTAAAAGAAATTTCATTGACTTTTTCATTTACATAACTCCAAAGAATACGTACGTCCCCCCTCATTAAATTGACTAAATTCATTAGGTTGTGTTCACACAAATGTAAAACGGAAAGGAATACAAAGATATTAATAGCCAATATCTCTTGTTATTGTGAAATAGCTAATTTCTGAAGCTCAAAATTATGTCAACTGTCACATATGTTGCATACAGAGCTGTCCTAAGCATGACCTGGAGAACTTGTTAAAATGGAGATTCCTGAACCAGAGATTGAAAGATTCTGAACCATTATGTCTGGGGTAGAGCCCAAGAATATTGACTTTCAACAAGTACCCTGGACCGCACGGTAAAGAGAAGTGGTATATGCCTTGCTAATTTCCAAAAGTTTATTCATCATCATATTTAATGTTTATAAATGCTTTGATTATTGGTATTTTTATTCAATCAAGCAGAATGAGTCACGTACAGAATTTTTATTTTGTACGTAAATCATTGAGTGTGTTACACAAACCATAAAGGGTGAGGCGTAGCTATCAATAATTTTAATAAACCCACCTCAGGAGAAAACATTGATTGAAAAGTAAACAGGGACCTCTATCATCAAAGGTATGTATGCATGAGTATGTAATTATATCTATAAACTATGGACACTCCATGTACAAATCTTCATACATATAGGTTTTAAAATAAATTCCCTAATTTTATGAACTCTTTTTATGTAATTACATTTCATCTCAGAGCAAAAATACCTTAAGAAAAAGAAATTGGGAAGCAATAGAAAATTATTTAGAGTAAATAGAAATTAGTGCTAGAGGTAAATATGTTTTATTTTGTTCTTAGAATAAAATTAAGATTTTATAGTATATGTAGAGTCATAAATAATTATTTTTCAATGATAGATTGAGAAGTGAATTTGATTATACTTGATAATCTAACCCCTACTTTGAAATGCTAGCATTTGATTTTTAAAAACAAAATTGAGTTAAAGATTTGCAAATATAGTCTGTTCTTTGTTGCTCAAGGAAAAATATTTCAAAAATATTTCTTATGAGCTGCTAATTTTTTTAATCCCATAACTAACTTTTTTAGTGTCTAATAGGCTGTGGCCATGCATTTAGAGGAATATTTGGATTCTGAACTATAAACCTATTTGTTTACAGAATTAATCTCTACAGAAAAGCTGGTTATCTCCCTTCTTTCCTAAAGTTCCATGTGGTATTATCTAGAAATAAATATTGCCTCAGCATATTTAATTGCTTAATTGTACACATAACATTGCAAAGCCTACCCTGATGCAAACATCTATCTGAAAAAAAGCAATACTTATCACCAATTATTTCCCAGAATTCAGTTGCCAGTTGCCCACCAACTTCTAGAGAGAACATCTGGATTGTAGGCAGGAATTTAAAAATTGGCTTTTAAATTAAATAACTACTTATATAAATGTCTATGATCTCTTAGACTCAGTTTAGAATAGCTAATCTCAAAATAATTAAATTACAGAACATTTAATCATAGAGGTCTTTGTTCTACACACATATTTAAAAATGTGCTTCATGCAACAATTTCTGCTCAAATTGAAATGGAGTTAAGACTGACATTAGTGACTTTATCTTTATTGTAGATATTATATCAAGAAGGTCATGGCTATTTCTCACTGTCACAATTTCCTTCTAAGACAGTCTTTCTACAATTTAAGTTCAAGCAGGCTTCACTGGACTGACACATACTTTTGAAGGGGAGCTGAACTTGCCATCACAAAGAATGCCTCTTTGGCATAAGGATTATGGCTGGTGATTTTTAAGAAACAGCAGACACGGGAGAAGCTGTGAAAACCAGTAGAAGTTACCCTTTTGTAGGAGACATTTACATTTATAAGGGAGATCTCCATTTGTAAAGGTATTTTCCTCCCTGTTCCCGGAGGAGAAGGGTGACTAAATCTAGAAAGATATCAGTGGAGAAGACAGGTATTTAAATCTGAAAAATCACCATATCTTCAGTTTATTGTGCTTTGCCTGATAACCTCCCATGTTGGGGTCCCCTTACCCCTAACATCTTTTCTCTGTAGCTGGAGATGGCATTTAAGGTGGTGGCTGGGGCCCTGCCAGACAGTTACTCAGATTTCCTGAGTATTTTCATGTATGCAGGGGGTAAACATGTTATTAAACTTATGTTTGTTTTTCTACTGTTAATCTGTCTAAGGATCTAAATGACAAGTATGGTCACCCTTTTCTTTCTAAAAGTGAGAACATAATTGGATTGTTTCGAGATATAAAAGGCCTCTTCAGTTTGCTTTACTGGGAGGGTTATTTGCTATTCATTTCTTTCTTATTCTAGTGAATAAAGATCCTTTGAAAGGAAATAAAAAGCTTTTAAGTTACACATTAGGATAAAAATGAAATTTAACTTCAAATCATATCAATCCCTATAGTATTATGAGTGCAAAATATGGTACTAATTCTATATCATTATAAAACTCATTGTATAACCCTGTAGATAAAGTGCCAAGTAAATGGTAAATAAGTAGTACTGATATTACACTCTCCACCCATTCATAAAGAAAACCTTATGACTACCAAACAACATTATA